TAAAAAAAAAAAAATTTTTAAAATAATAATCAGTAAACAAACTCGGTGTTTTTAAATGTTGTAACGGTATGACCATTAACCAAGTAATATTTTAGATATTGCATCAGAAGTTGCAACATTATATAGATAACTATGACTATAATACCTGTATTTCCAAACTGAGGCCACAGAAAGCATACAGTCACGCGAGCCCCCATACAAGGGATACAGTATTACTGTAATCGCATATTTTTTCTCTTAAAAGACAATTTCATTAAAGTTAGTGACTGCAACTGTTTAAATTACAACTAGAACTTCAAAGAATTCTGTGTGTATTAAAATCTAAGCTTAATTTAATATGGAAAACGGCCCAACTGATTTCTAACAACTGAATATTACTGTTTTATGCTATACATGTGTAGAAGCTATTGACATGGAACACACGCAGAATGCTACAAAATTCCAGATTTGGGTCCATATTCTCTTAATAGACAAATATTCTTAAGTCTGAGTATACCAATGCACTGATAAAAATCAATCATAATTTTCAGAAATTCTGAAATGAAAGTTTTATATTTTGTCGCTAGGACGTACATGGTAGAACATGAACCCATGTGCCACATCAACCATAAAAGTTTGGCTATAATTCCTGACATTACGTAAGGTTCAATTGTCAATCCTCCAAAAAGTTTTGATTGTTGTGTCACATTTCTATAAGGCACTTCAGTTTTCAATATATTCCCTATAGTTTTTAAAGTTCATGGAGCACAAAAATATCCTAGAAAATCTATAATTTACCGCAAGTGACATTTATAAAAATAAGGCCGAGTATATTCCCCAAAGAGGGGACTAAACACAGCTGAGCAAGGACGTGGCAGATTAAAAACAATTACAAAATCAGGTCTATAGCAAATAGGTGAATGTGAAAAACTGCATTAAGATACAAAACGTAAAATAAATCTGTTTACAAGGAGACCTGATGTTGCATGTTTTATTTTTGCTGTGGAGGGCAAGTCCTTCCTGGTCCATGATTACCAAGAAACTTATTTTGTATAGTGAAAATTGAAAGGTCATAGGCTAGAAAGTGTGTGGAGAGAGAATCAGATTGAAGCAGGAATATGGTGATGGACCTTTCTGGAAGACTATCAGCTTGTCTCAGACTTAGCTGGGTGTAAGGGAAATAGCTCATAGGCACAGCCGGTGAAGCACTTGCGATATGTAATAAATGTATATAGGAATTGTGAAAGTGACAAGCTGTGGACCATACGTATACAAGACATACAAACAGAACGCTGTTTACAAATACACCTCTAACACGAGATATATTGCAGTGATGGCTGAAATGTAATTTTCAATCAGTCTTTTAAGGGCACTCATCTTTGTTTTAACCAGAGTATCTGATATATAGCTCTCCAGTGGCCACAACCCACATCACATGGCAGATCCAGTGACAAGCTAATTGAAAACTTTTAGGCACTGTTAATCTATGCAAGATAAACAGTCTTTCACCAACGGGAAAGCTATGAGCGAGCACTCACGGGCACTGCCCAATCTCCGGCTGGCCAGAACCTTATTGGAGGATGATTACCCTGGCCGGGGCATATAAGGGTAATCAATCGAAATATCGAGAATCGTTATTAGGTCGGTCGATCGATGATTTGAAGCCAGGCTGAGACATCCCTCCTGGTGCTAACTGGAACTTATTGATTATTTACGAAGAGTAGGCACCTCTTCAGCAGACCTCTCATACTGTACGTCTTAGCACGTATGAGGCTTCCTCCTTTTAAAGAGTCCTTCCAATAACAATCATAAATTGCAAAACAAGAAGACATCAAGGAAACCTCCCCTAACAGTGTAACTAATGTAACATGGCACTAAAGGTATATTATTCCTTGTTATAGTCCATGATATTTACAGTCCTGGGGTCCAGTAGTGTTGTAAACGTGATCAGAAGATAGGCCCTTGTCCCACTGCCATCTGACATTTCCTGCAGTCGAATGTAATGCATAAAAACAAAACGTCTCGCTGATCAGTGTTTTGTGAAATGTCATTCGTGGCTGGTAACTTTTATGTCGAGAGATTAATATCTGAATATCCATTGTTAGACAACATGTTTTCACTTCAAAGTGTGATGACATTATTTGGTTCCATGTACATTCACAAAATTATAATAAGACAGTAAACCAAGATGCCACACTTCCTTGAACGTAAATTGTGTAAACAAGGTATCATGTGAGCTCGAACCAGGGTTATACAGTACCCTGGAAAATGGGGAGCGACAATCAGGTTTGATCCAAGGAATTTGAAGACTGGTCGATTTCCTTAGATCAAGAGCCCCTCATCGACAACAAGTAACCTACCTTGAGTGGAACCGGATACAATTTGCATGAGGATTATTTACTAATCCATTGGTTGTGACAGGGCCAGCTGTTGCTGCAAGTCACATTTTACTAAATATCCACTCAGGATAAAGATTAAATCGTATGTATCTCAGCTGGCCAAGCTGGCGGTGCCCCCACATGACTTTGTTTACACACTTCATATTAACGCTTTAATATCTTAGGAATGAGAAAATAACATATTAGGACTAGGGTCATCCTGTACAACCCCACCGTTTTAACAGGAGGATTATGGAGTCACTGGAATACATACACCCTTTTACTGCCAGCAGACTTATAAACATAAATTTACCTCATGACTGATATGGCAATACGAATTTAACAGCCAGAAATTTGGCACCAGACTGGGGTACTTAATTTATCTGGAACCTGCACCTCAGACACGCTTATTTGTTGCCTGAGCCCGGGTAGTAATACATGACTGCAGGGGCTGGAAGCTGCCACCTTGCAGCGTGCATCTCAATTAGCTGGAGGAGGGTCTTGCGCACGGCTGGCACTCTGACGGTGGTGAGGAAGGCATCACGAGCGGCACTCATCACTCTGGCCATCTGGTGTGGCAGCTCCACCTCAATATCCTTCCCGAGACCCGTTAACACGAAGAAAAGGCACTCAGTCTGCAGAGACAAAATCATTATTAATGCTAAGCTATATAATCATAATCACAAGGAAGTACTAAACCCGTAGGGGTCATACAGCGCTTGGGAAATGGGAAACAAACAAGTGTGATCCAAGGCTGGGGAGGGCAGTTCTAATTCTTAGAAATAAACGCCGTTCACCGGAGCAGTGCCTCCTCCCCCCCCTCCAGTAGTATGACAGACAAGCTTTATTCATTTAAAGTGAACACCTGTTTCATGAAGGGTTATCAAATAATCATTTTAGCACATTATATAAAATAATTACTACATGTTTCAGTTAAAGTATATGAAGTACTTGCATCTGACCGCCTGTGCAAAGACAGCGATTATGAATGATGGTGAAAGTGTTGAATGATGATAAAGTTTTTCTTTCTTTTTGGGTCACCCTGCCTGGGTGGACAACGACCAACGTGTTAAAAAAAATTAAGACAAAATATAATTAACTCATCTGCCTTGACTCCATAAAAGTGATTTTAACAATAATTACAAGTGAAAATCGGATCAAATTTACAACCAGTTGCAAATGGGCTGAAACAATGAAATGTTTAATTATATAAATGAATGTGTTTAAGATTAACCGTTAATCTTATTTCTTGGGGTAGACAAAACAGGGTCGAGTTTGTCTTTGACTTCACATGAAAGGAAAACACTGATGTAGAACAGTATGTCTCATGACGGGCATCCTCAACCGTCTGACAGTATTGCTGATAGTAATGAAAATAAAAGCCCAAGTTTCATTAGTTTATATTAGAAACCATACCACGGACGGGGATAGAACCCGCGATCAGAGAGTTGGATGAATCTTATTGTGGCTAGCTGGCCCAGTGGCTAACGCGACGGTCTGGAGTTTTGAGACTGATCGCGGGTTCTATCCCGGTCCGTGGTATGGTTTGTTTGCAATCGTGTCATCACGATTTTGTGAGTCAAGTTTATATTAGGGCAACATTATGCTTTGTGTAGAGGTTCTTCAGGTCTTGACTTTGTAAGTTCTACACAGCAAAACATTTCCGCAGCACAAGCTTACTCTGTAACTTGAATCTTTGTTCTCGTATAACATGAGCAGCGACCAGTGATTAACTGGATTTTGGACGACATTGGGATTCCTGATAAGAGGTGACAACGTGGCCAGGGCAGCTGCTTGGTGTCTCGTGTCTTTCACCACAGAACACCATGAGACCCTGGTTACTGGCTTCCAGCAGCCATTTGGTTCTTCAGTTAGTGACTACGTACCACTACAACTGACAAGAGGTATTGTCAGGAGAGACTAAGTGGTTCTGCATTACCTCAGGCTGAACTACCTCTTCCACAAGATTGGAACTATTAAACACTAGTGTAAACACGGAATATCCACTACTTGCTTATGTTAATAAAGTAGTTAAAGGACGAAGTACACTTAAATGCAGCCACTTTTGCACTCTGGAACGACCATGACAATAGCCACAGAAGCAGGCTTTATTTGTTGCAAAATAAAACACGAGATGGCTACCACCATGGTTGTCACCTTCAGACAGTTTTCTTCCCATCCTATCTTTTGAAAAATTGTGACTGACGATGTAGCTTCGATACTTATAATTAAAAGAGTTTTGCCCACCAACGGCAATAGCAACTCACACGAGATCTCATTAGTTCATTCTTGCAGGCCAACTATGTTCAAAACCCACGCAGGTTAAACTACTTTGAAAAAAAAAATGTCCGAGTTACAGTCACGAAGAACATCAAAACACAAACAAAAAAAATTCTCAGACTGTGGTACACATCAACTGGCCAGAAAATAATACCTCTGCAAGGCTGTTGACAGCATTCTCCTTGAGGCAGACTTGGCAGCACTGAGCTAGCAAGGTGAGCAGCAGCAGGCCGGGTGCAGTCTCACTGTTCCTCATCCTCTTCGTCATCAGCTGTACGTGCCGTCGCTTGAGCTGGATAAAGGATTAACTGTTAAGTTTGCCGTTTCTAGAACTGTTAGAAAGATTAGTGATTTCAGAGATGCGAAGATTCACAACTAACCTACAAATTGAAAGCAAATCTTTCGATTTTTGAGCTCGTCCTAGATCATTATCAAGTCACGACTGGTTAATGAACCAGGACGGACCAAAATCCCGTCTAATTCAGAAAACCTTGGCTGCAACAACTGACAACAAATTCACAAAATGGAGTTGAAGACTACAGTATCTATTTTAAACCATACCCCCGGCCGGGATTGAACCCGCGGCCGGGGGTATGGTTTGTTTGCAATCGTGTCATTACGATTTCTTGAGTCGTATCTATTTTGATCCGCCCTGCACCTTTATCAATGAACAACTATAACTATCTGAATTTGTACTAATTCCTTGTGATGAATGGCCCGCACGGGTTTACAGCTTCACATAAATATGCACAAGTACGCACCTGTGTGTACATCTCATTAAGGAAGGTCATGTAGGCGATCCAGCGCGGGTGAGCGGGAACGAAACCTGGGTAGGGTGCTGGTGGGTTGTTTCTTAGGAGACGATCTCGCTCCTGGAAGTATTCCTGGCAGGTGTTCAGTAGCGTCTCCAGGAATGTCTCGTTCTTCTCCTTCTGCAAGAGACCAATTTCTCATAAGGTTCCTTGATGCCTGTGAAGGGCACTTGATCCAAGAAACTGGACCCGACTTCCCTTTGGATTGAACTCGACTGCCTCCCATTCCCCGATAAGTGTAATAATAATGCAAGAAATAACTACATCAGCACAGTTAGGTAGTATGTTTAGTTCTTGCTGACGGAGGATCGAGCCTCCACTCTTTGTGCTGAATGATCAACAGGGTTTGATAATAGCATATTTATAAAAGTATAAAAAGTTATATATTTTTAAATTTCACTTTATAAGTATGAAATCGCTATAATAATGGTATACAATATCAATAAGTTGATGAATAAGACATAAGCAACACGTGTGAAGTGTTTCGGAAACAGTTACCTCAATAATAGCGATACAAAGCCTAGCTGCTGGTTCAGCATGACGCGAGGCCTCCACCACCCTGGTGAATACATGCCTCACCACCTCCATCAGTTGGCGAGCACTCACACTGTTGGGGTCTGAGAAAGCAAAGTTAACCTTCGTTCAGGTTAAATATACAAATGTTTTTCTTATACCGCTGTTTTTAATGCATTAGACACATGATTATAGGTATACAACAGTTTGTTCACAACCCCCACCTTATTGGATCACTGTCATGTCACAAATGGACGAAGATCCCAGAGAAAATTGGAAGACATGGCGGACGGGTGGGGGGGGGAGAGGCCAAGAAGGTAGTGGTAATAGTTTAAGACGATGAAGATTTAGACTATGATAACCCAACAGATAGTGTCATTTATTTCCTGATCCTCCTCACACATCTTCATATGTCTAAGATTAGTTGATAATTATAGTTTTGGTGTGCTTAAGTAGGTGAGTACTGTACAACCAAAGTAGCGAATTTGGACAAAATTATATTCTCGGAAGAACTTCCATTTTGCCCAACCTCCCTATCCTCTCACCCTTCAAGGGAGGGGGGGTGCCATTCCTCCAATAATAATAATAATAATAATAATAATAATAATAATTAATAATAATAAATTAATAATATAATCCATATCTTCCTGAAAATAGGTGCTTACCCGTCATGGCTTTCGAAATGGAGTTTTGGACGTCGGGCGAGAAGGGTCCCAGGTCGGGCATGGTGGTAGTGGTGGTGGAGGCCTCGAGAAACTGTGAAGCTCTCAGGTCTGCTGATCCCAGTGACTTGGATCTCTTAATACCTGGCTGCTGGCTCAGTAGTCCCACTGCTAGCGAGGGAGGGCGACACATAGCCACACACTGTAACAAATGAACACTTAAGAGACGAGATAAAATTTTCTTCGGATTTTTAGCCCCGGAGGGTTAGCCACCCAAGAAAGTCAGTGCGTCATCGAGGACTGTCTAACTTATTTCCATTGGGGTCCTCAATCTTGTCCCCCAGGATGCGACCCACACCCGTCGACTAATACCCAGGTACCTACTTGCTGCTAGGTGAACAGGACAACAGGTGTAAGGAAACGCGTCGAAATTTTTCCACCCGCCGGGAATCGAACCCGGGTCCTCCGTGTGTGAAGCAAGAGCTTTAGCCACCGGGCCTGCCCAATACACTACGTAAATATAAAGTTATGAAAACAAAACACTGCATTATTATTATATTTAGGAGGAAGTGCTAAACTCGTAGGGAGGTCTTAAAACGTCTGAGAAATGGAAGCAATAAGGTTTAAGTAAATTGTGACACCCTTGTAGTATTATCAACTCCCTTGTCGCTACTGCAAAATACATGAATAACTACCTTTATATTATTAGTTTTAGAGGAAAAGTCTAAATCCGCATGGGTCATACAGCGCCTGGGCAATGGAACACAGTCAAGGGAGGAAATATCCAATCGTTGGATCAAAAGCCTACATTGAGGGGCTCACTTCAAAAAAATGCGGGAATATGCGATTTTGGAGTACAAAAAACTAGTTACGTATATACCCATAAGTATATACTTATAATAATTTTGTACATGGCCTTTTTTTTTTACTGCAAATCTGCATTTTTTGTTTTTGCCCCCAGATGACTATACTATTTGTTTGGGTTTATTTTATTGCATTCCCCTATCCTGAATCAGATATCTTATGTGGTATTTTCCTAGATATCTTAGTATCAGATACCTTTCTCATTAACTAAATGAAACTGTATAATCTAGTCTTTTAACTCGGTGGCTTAAATTGTATACCAATCTTTTATTTAGCACTTTCCCCATCTTTACTCTGGCATAAGGATCTTTCGAGTAACTGAGAATATCTTGAGGGCTGGTAACTGATGTATGTCTCCCTATATTGAAGGTATGAAGGGTTAGCCTTCATGCCTGCAAAATTACAAAGGCAATCTAATTTGAAGAAAATGGAGTATAGCTTAGTTCTTACCCCTCCAGCCTGTTTTTTACTACCTCTTTCTCCTGATAGTATTTCCGTTAACTGTTTATTTCCGAGCTGTTGCCGTAGCTGTGGCTACTGAAGTTGCTTCTCTGGCTGTTATAGCTGTTTTTCTTGCTATTATTGTTACTCTTGTACTGTTTTTGTTGCTGTTCGTGTTATTGCTTCTGTATTTGCTATTATTTTTGCTGCTTTTGTTGTTATTGTTTGTATGTTGTTACTCTTGTTATTACAGCTTCTCTCGTTATTGCTGCTTCTCTTATTATTGTTACTGTTCTTGGTGCTGTGGTTGTTGGTGTGTCCTTGCCCGATACACTTCCTGTTGAGTCACTGTCATTACCTGGGAGCCGTAACAGCTGCTCCTCTCTCTCTCCACTTACAGTTGCAAACACCCAGCTCTTGTGTGTCAGAGATAACTTTTCTTCCCGACCCCAGGAAGCCAGAGTCATGGAGGTGCTAAAACCGTACGGAGCATACAGCACCCGGGAAATTGCAGGAACTCATCTCTTTTTACTGTAATTTTTATATGAAATTCCGTTTTCTTTACTAGAAGTTCCCGGTCATTACACTTTAATTGCCGGGTTCTCCGCGTTTTTGCAGAAAGAATGCTACCACTGGTAAGCCAGTGGTTGCTTTAGAACTGATAGCCAACACTGGTAGGGCGGTGGTTTTAGTCACTCACCGAGTCAGTGTACGACCCATCGGCCTGATCTTACCTTGAGTTCGGGGTCGTTCTCCTTGTCATCACTGAAGTGCACCCTGGGAGGAGAGCCACTGGGAGGTCGGACGTCGCCGTTGGTGGTCTGTCGTAGGTTACTGCCAGACTTGGAGTGCTGCAGACCACCAGGACGACCCTAGCAAAGCAAGAAAACAAATCACTACTCAACTCAAAAATTACAGGTGAAAACCAGGTGATGTTTCAGCTCGTCCTGGACCATTAGTTATTCCCAATGTATACCGCACTAAAACGTTGTCTGGTTTTCACATTTACTTTGTGGAATCATTTTGGTTTCAGTCACGGTATTTTGAATTTATTTTTCAAGTCTGCTATTTAGGAATTTAGCTTCTAGTTTGGCAAAAATAACTAACACACTTGCCGTCCCCCACCAAGATAGAGTGGCCCCCCAAAAATTTCACCGCCATTCATTCAATTACTGTATTAATGTTGGTAGAATTACCGACAATATGTAAAGTAAACCGACACAAGTGCAACTGTCTTCCCAGAAGTGTGCTGACACCGCAGTTCAGATGGTCCTCCGAACTGAGGAATCCTATCCCCGCCCTTCCTCCAGAGTATTCGGTATCCAGACCAGAGCTTTGGTGAGATGGGTAAGGAAGAAGGATGGGTAAGGATAGAAATTTTGGAAAAGGGTGGGAGGGGGTAGAGGGGTAGGATATAAAAGGTAAGTGGCCCAACCACTTTGGTGTAATTTAAAAAGTGTACGTGAAATGATAAGATATTCTTTAAGAGGTATAAGACTAACCCATCAGAGTCACATAGATAAAACAGAATATAAGTACATGACTCTGAACTGGTAGTAATTATACAAGTTGCAATTTTTTTTTTTTTTTTGCGATTGCACAACGGATATTTTTGCGATAATGAAGGCAATAATTTTCTGGCCAGTTTTAGAGAATTCCGTGACAATGGCTTTTACAGGTGTGTCCAGCCATAGTAAATAGGGATAATTTTTTACATTAGATTGTTATATAGATGTCTCCTAATTGGGGGAGATGATGTTCTCAGTATACATGAAGGGTTCTGGTGTTACCCAATCTTCTTCATCAGGGGGGTTTCCT